AAAAAAAAAAAAAAAAAAAAAAAAAAGAAAAAGAAAAAGTGTGAAAAATTCAATTTTAAATCATAATTAGAAAACTGAGGAGAGAATCTTCAACGCGATATAAATTTTATCTATATCGTTATTTTCACTTCGTTATTACATTGATACAATTTAATTACTTTACTTTTATCTGTATTTTTCCTTCTCTTTAGTCTTCTTTCTTTGTTTGTTTTTTGTTGCATAATGATAACTGATGGCTATGCCAACGTGTGAGACAACGAACACCGCCCGCGAATAAATAAATAAATGGACGAACGAATGTATAAATAAATACATAAATAATTAAACTGTTACTGCAAAAATCTCCCTATACATACGAAACCTGATGGAGACTTCACTTTTGAAAGTCGCGGGCGAAAGTCAATGTGAACGAGCGGCAAAGAAACTCGAGCAAACATCGATTTCCTTTATCGATCGCGGTGCGTGTGTTGGGCAACTGAATCGGAAAGTGCGTTCGCCAAACGACGACGGCCCGCATTTCGCCCTCTTCTTTCCCCGTGTCCAATACACATCTTGCGAAAAAAAAAGGGGAAAAGGAAGAAGAAGAAAGAAAAAAGAAAGTGAAACTCGGTCGAGGGGGGTTGTTGCAACACTACGAGACAATATCGGCTAGAATATCGCCAGAAGAATATCACGGTCGCTTCCAAGAAAACTCGGCTCGCATTTTTCTCTCTTCCTTCGCTTTGCTTCGAGAGGTCTCGCTTAGCGTGTTCCGCGTTTTCAAAGGCACGAGAGAGATTTTAAACGTCGCGTCGCGCCGACGAAAGACGCGAGAAACGTTGGCAAAGGTTCACGGGCGAACCGGCAGAATTCGCGAACGATGCCAAACGTTTCGCTTTAGATGTAAAGAGGAGGCCTCGAGCGTCGAAAAAAGAATTCTATTCGCGAGATGCGACCGGGTTTGTTCCCTTTTGTCTATCCCCCTTGTTGCTGGCAACAGGCCATTCAGATTGTGAAGAACGATAGAGACACCGAGGTAAGAGTTGTCGGTGGATTTTATTTAATTGTGGAGTTTGGACAGAGAGAGAGAGAGAGAGAGAGAGAGAGAGAGAGAGAGAATATCGGTGAAAATAATCACGATGAATATGAAATTTATCTCGTCCGCGAGTAAAACACTTCACGTGTGGGATGTATCGATGAAAGAATAAACCATGAGGACGCGTCGTTTGTTTCGCAATATCATACTTCTGACCAACAATATTATCACTATTTGCTGTTAATAGCCATTCTAGATTTTCTCACGTGATAAATGCATACCATAGGAAACTTTATTAATGACGTTATATAAAGATTGAGCAAAACAGGCAAATCAGATATTAGTGTACTTTTCGATGTAGATGTATGTATTGACGTATCGATAGAAATGATTTTATAACATATTCTTTATCTTTCTTTCTCTCTAGAATTTTTTTTTTTATGTTCTATATTTCAGTTGATAGTCTGTCATGTGTTTGCGAATGATATATTAAATTTCTTTGGATTCCTTTTTTCCTTTTACATCTATCTATATTTTATATTTCTTTCATTTGTATAATTATTAATGACGTTATATAAAGATTGAGCAAAACAGGCAAATCAGATATTAGTGTACTTTTCGATGTAGATGTATTATTGATGTATGGATAGAAATGATTTTATAACATATTCTTTAGCTTTCTCTCTCTCTAGAATTTTTTTTTTATATTCTACATTTTAGTTAGTCTGTCATGTGTTTAAGAATGATATATTAAATTTCTTTGGACTCCTTTTTTCCTTTTACATCTATCTATATTTTATATTTCTTTCATATTTGTATAATTATTGTTCGTATAATTTATTTTCTATCTTCGAGCTAGGTGTCTTGGAAAATTTTATCATCTTTCTCTTTCGAGTCACGTTTATTTTAGTTTTTGAGATTCTTTGAACTTTTTGAACTTTCAACTGATTTGATTTTAATTATTCTACATATTATGTGCAAAAGCAATGTGTTCAGTCAGTCAGCAGAAGTTATTCCAGCCTCAAAAATTTGATTTTGAACACGTTTCCATTTTGCAAATGGCTCGAACATTTGAAACACCTTTGTGAATGTAGAAAATTGGCCAATCGTTTCGATCGCTCTGGTATTTTAATTTTAAAATTTCTAAAATGCTCTTCCAGTAATCAAATTTTCAGTTTGAATTCCATGGAATCAAGTTTCTATTTATTTGAAAATACCGGATGCTCGCTCGGTGGATGTATAGCTCTCGCCACAAGCTCTTACTCTAATGTGACACCGGTTACGAGCAACTAGGATGTCATAACAACGCAACGTGAAGGTACGTGAAGGTACGCGGTAACCTCCTGTAACGCAGCCCATAATTGTTTTACATCGCTATGTAGATGAGAGATAAATGTGTCAGGGAGGAACATACATACGTTAATGATATCTTGATCAACAGCTCTTTGATTTTGCAATATTCATGAATATCCATATTCGTTCTTTTTCTCTTGTTTTTCTTTTTCTTTTTTTTTTTCCAGCTACAAGTTGGAATAACCGACACACGGACGATTAGATTTTCTTTCTCTCGTCGAGAAAGACGAATAAACAGGCGTTAGGAACGAAGCTGGCTTGGTAAATTTACATTCAAAATTTAATAAGACGACGATAAGTTTTCAAAGGTTCTTGTAAGTTCAGTTCTTCAATTCATAGCAATTTCAAACAGTTACATGCTATTTAAATAAGAATACATTTTAGACGACTCGCACGTTCAAAATTTCAGCCCTGTCAAGTTCATCGTTAAAATGATAAAAATCTGAGGGCTTATCGAGAAAAGTTTATTACACGTGAACTTGATTTCCAGGAAACTTCAGGAAGCACTTCGTTCCTTCTTTCAGACGAAGCACCCTTCCGCTTTTTACTTATCCTTTCCAGTAGCTCGAGTAGCTAAGGGTTGGTTAGGAGTTGCTTTTGATTTATCGCGATAGCGATAAAAGAAACTTGGGGAAAGGAATGAGAGTATTATTCGTTATTGCGTGTCGATGGGAAACGAACAGATTTCAAATCATTTTACTTTGAAAATGAAACACGGTATCAAACTTTTGGTCGCCATTCAGCACAATTTTTTCTGAATTCTGACTGTCTAAACCTAATATTCAAAATGGCCAAAAATATCGTACACTATAAGATTACTATAAAGAGAAGGCTTTAATCTTCAAATCCATTGTAGATTCAGTCATTGAAAAAACGTTTTTCAATGTTGCATGCTATGACAATTTACGACATTTACAAAGAAAATAGTATCATCGTGCGATGTAAAATCATCTTGGAATAAAATGAATGATGTATTTCAAAAGTAGAGGCATCAAGCTTTAAAATGAACTGAACGAAGTTTATTGCTGTACGATTTTGTTTCACGAAGCTGTAATGATTCAAATATTTAAGTGTCGAGATATTAATATAAGCAACTGAAAAAAAGTTTCGTCACTCCGAAACTAACTATATTTGATGAGTGTTACACGTTCTTAGTATTTGTTAGCACATCCTGTATATATTGATATTAAAATAAGTATAAAATAATATTTTTTAATAATACCAAAATATAAAGTTATAGTTATATTATATATCATATTTGGTGAATGCGCTCTTAAAATTTGTTCTTTTTATATATATACTGAATTAAAATATTGTATATATATTATATATATAATATATATTTTATATATATACAGAATTAAAATATTATATATATATTATATATATAATATTATAAATTTTATATATATATATACTGAATTAAAATATTATATATATATATATATATAATATTATTTATATAATATATATATTTAATATGTATAATATTATATAATATTATATATATTATATATTTTATATATATACAGAATTAAAATATTATATTGTTAAACGATGTTAAAAGTAACAGAGATTCATGGAAACAACTTTCATAGTAACCGTGCGTTCTACGTCGATTGACAAGCGAGCGTCGACGGACACCGATGAAGTCATTCTTTGAAAAGTTCACTGTACAATGCAAGTAAGTACATACCTGTCCAAGGAAACCGCAACAAGGCTGTAGACAGAGGCCGCCACGGAAACGCCCTGTATATAAGCGACCGCTTTACACATGAACCATCCCAGGAACCATGCTGAAACACAAGTTCGCCGTTTATCCTTTGAAGTCAGACGACGGAGTGAAACTTTACTCTCTGCCGAAAATGATTTCGTTTCTTTTCGGAAAGAAAAGCGAAGAAAACAGGGAGAGAGATAGATAGAGAGAAAGATAGAGAGAGAGAGAGAGAGAGCGCGCAAGTTATTCTCTCGTCGCAAAAATACAAATTGACAGTGTGAAATTTTAACCTCTTGGCACGCACGTCGAGAACTTTTTCTTCTAACTTTATTTTCTCAGTTCCGACTATATTTACGTATAACCCAGGCAAAACAAATAATAAATTTGTTACAAATCCCGATACAAATTTCTATCCAGCGACATCGTACCGACGAGTTCAAAAAGAAAAAAAGCGAACGAATTATTGTATACGATTTGGACACTCGTTGTGGTCCGCAATATCCCTCTTTGTAAGTTACACTCCTGTTACAGTTCCATCTTTTGCAATCGTGATCTGTCAATTTGTTGTTGAAAGTTTCAATCAAAGTATTGGATACATGGATATTTAATTCATTACGAGTTTGTGGGTTCGCGAGGAGATTTCGAGTGCGCAGGGAATACATAAAAGTCGAGAAAGTAGAATATCTGTCCAAATATCTACCAGCGGGCAGGAATATCTTCAATCGCGTTTCGCAAGGGCATGAAATTGTATCAAGACTTCGCAGTCCATTTGGCAACGACTTTTATGCACAATTGAAATTACACGAACGTCTCGAACACGAAGACGCATTCGGTCTCTAAAAAGCAGAGGATTCTGCTTCCTATGTAACAATTACTGCCGCCGGAACAAAGAGCTGTTCTCTAAGAAAAAACGAGACCGAATGGAAATTAACTTCGTCCTTATTCTTTCGTAGCGTAATTTCGCATTTTTCGCGAAATAAGGGCTTTTTAAAGTCGAGATCGTTTCAAAATCGACGTTTCAAAATCGACAGTGATTTACATGGATGTGTCGTTTAATGCTAATTACTCGAGAGAACTGGTTTGAGAAAAACGTAAATGCGGAGCAGTTAAAGCGCTTGCATAGTAACGAACGGTAGGTATGTATGTGTCCGACCGTTGGATATAGCACAATGTCGTATAGTAATTGCACGTCATTCCAAAGCTTCTCACAGTTTCTTCTTATTTCATTATCGTCGCCGCGAAAAAAGGAAAAGGAAAAAAAAAGGAAAAAAAAAGGAAAAAAAAAAAAGAAGAGATTACTCGCGTTCCTGAGGCTTTCTCATAAAGTCTGTTCCTTGGCAAAGGAATCTAATTAAAAATTCTACTGTCACGGGCGCAGCTCTGCCGTAGACGTTAATTAACAGTTATTCCCGTAATTTCATGCTTAGCAAGCAAGTTTTGCGTAATAAATTGTACGAACGTGCAGAGTGATCGCAACGTGACAATAATGTCGAACGTTGCGTTCGGCGAGCTCTCCCCTGGAAGTTGTTCTCCGCGAAATTAATTAATCGGCGGAAGATTCCATATTTGAAGTTAAAAGGATCGCGGACAGCGGGTTTATCAAGAAGTTTATGCGTGCATTATAGAGGCTGTTCGGGCTAAGACAAAGTTTCGAAAGGATGAGAGAGGGAAATTTTATTAGTTAAAACGACGTGGTTAAAGTTGAAAGAGGGAAAGAAATTTAACAAATTTGTAATGTAATTCTAATTGTATAACAAAGTATTATGTTAGTTCTATAATAATAAAATTTAATAAATTCCAGTTCAATAATAAAAAGAGATATATATTCTATAATAATGTGTGTGTATGTGTGTGTGTGTGTGTATTATATATATATATAAAATTTAATAACTCTTTATACAATATATAACACTTTACATACACTGTGTTTGCGTTATTTTTGTCCAATATTTTTCTCAAAAATGGTAAACAAAAGGAAAAAATGGCAGAGGACAAAGAAAATAGAATTCTATAATAATAAATTCCAGTTCAATAATAAAAAAAGATGTATATTTTATAATAATATATGTGTGTGTGTGTGTGTGTGTGTGTGTGTATTTTATATATATATATAAAATTTAATAACTCTTTATGCAATATATAATACTTTACATAAACTGTGCTTGCGTTATTTTTGTCCAATATTTTTCTAAAAAATGGTAAACAAAAGGAAAATATGGCAGAGCACAAAGCTGTACGGCTTACTATGACCAACACAGCGAATTATATAACAATTTTCTATGTTTATGATATTTTTCAAGAAATGAAGGTGATTTTTAATTTTTAAAAGTTGTCAAGATGAACTGAAGTCCTTTAGAGGCCATGTACCATTCTGAGAGGCCATAAATAATTAAGATACGACGAATCGGGCACAGGCTGAAGCCTAAGTACGAACGTGAAATTCAATTTGTAAATAAAATTTCGTCTCAGCGTGTCTCGTGTCACGCGTACGAAGATCTACCTGCCAAATATTTTTACAAAATTCACGCACACATTTTAAACAAATACACATTTCAGAAAAAGGAATACTCACGGCCTTCAAAGTTTTATCAAACAGGAGATTTAAGTTTGCTACAGAAATATTAAGTACTAGAACGAAGAGAAACGAACACGTACATACACCAACCAAGACCGTATTTGTATCACAATGCGTGTGTATCGAGTAACATTTTCCCTGGCAGAGTGCAGCGTACCGTGACCTAAGCCCGGAGCCATTACATCTCGATGAATTCGAGTCATGTCGTTCGACGATTCGCGCCGCTGTGCTCTTTTCATCGAATATTAATTGCAGGATGCGGCGGCGTCTCTCCGTAAGCTTCCGGTTTCGACGTCTGGATGACGAGAGAGTTTTTTTTTCCTTTTTTTTTCCTCCCCCCTCCCCAGCTCCCGGGGATCGCTCAAACGGCGAGCGAAAATACTCGTTCGAAACAGGAAGGAACAGGAATTGTTATTCCATGGAAATGGATTTTTGACGCGGCGTAGGCAGCACGCTAGCAGCGCGGGTTTTATCGACAAGTTTGCACGTATCCGACGGAATAAATAATTATTCCGCGCAACGGTTGATTTACGGCCAACGGGAAGTTCCTTTCCTTTCGTGTGTAAGGTCTCGCGCCTACCCTTCACTTCGCCGCACAATACTTTCGGTGGCCGGGCTGCCACTAAAAGGCCGCACAATCGGCCGTCGCGTCGACGCGTTTCGACAGGGAAAAGGGGACCCCAGGCTGGCTCTTTGCACACGCCCGCGCCGCGCCGTGCAAATGACGTGCCGCTTCTCCAGGGAATTTCGATAGCGACTACGTTGACGCGTGAAAATGCGCGAGAAATACCGAGAGAAATATTGGAGGATGGAGAGAGAGAGAGAGAGAGAGAGAGAGAGAGAGAGAGAGAGAGAGAGAGAGAGAGAAAGAGTTGATAATGTGGCGATGATTTTCTGGAAATCGATCGAGGCAAAGCTGAGCTATACGTGCTATAAATTTATGATGAGGGATGATGATTACATACAGAGAGTGTATATATGTATATGCAGCGTATTTATGTACAAGCCTAAAACAGGCAGTCTACACAGGGTGACCGGTTTCAACTGCTTGCGCTGGCAACTGATTGCGGACCATAACGAGTGACCGAACCGTACACAGTAATTTGTCGCTATCTTTTTGATACTCGTCGGTATAATATCACTGGATAGAAATTATTGAGAACTAATAAATGTATTATTCGTTTTGCCTACATTGTTTTACTTAAGTATACTTAAAACTGAGGAAATTCTGGAGCAAAAGTTACAATTTTACAATTACAATAATTACAAATAATTACAGTATTTACAATAATTACAAAAATTACGATAATTATAATTTTGGGAGAAAAAATTCTCGACGTGCGTGGCACGTCATTCCAGCGCAAGAGGTTAATCCATAAATGCAAATTACTGTCTGTTATGACTGTAAAAAAGTAATTTGGGCAAAGAATGAAAGTCGTTTCGTGGCGATCAGATACAATCTGGTGTTAGTGGTTTTACATAGTTAGATAGGCGTGTAGAGTTCATACGAACGTCACTTTCACTTTTTTCAAACGAGTTAACATATTTTTTTGATTCATTAATTGGTACAGCTCGATATTCTTTATAACAGTGTACATTATCATCTATGAACATGTCGGGAAACTATTACAAGGATGTACAAGAAACTATGCTTTCGTGTATAGGCGAATTAATTGTGCAGATTGCGACCTCCTCGAAACCATTCACTTCTTATCTAAAATATTTCTTTTTATATTTTTTTTTCTTTTATTATACAATTTACTATTCATTTGTGTTTATAGATTAAAACCGGTTCCACTATATTGTACATACTAGTTATACGCATTCGTATATTAAGGAGTATTCTAGTATAACAGGTTTTCTTAACATACAGGTATCAGAAGATATTGACATAATACTTCAGAGAAATATGGATCGAAGCCAACGAAACGAGTATTACAATTTCTCGAAATTTTCTCATCCAAGCCTAATATTCAAAATTCAATGAAACGACGAAGATCTCAATCTTCGAAACCATTGTAAATTTACTTATCGTGAAGAAAATTTTTCGACGATTCCACGTACTATGACAATTTATAACAATTTCGAAGAAGAAAGTATTTTCACTTTCCCACTCGCTGCTTGATGCGAGAATATTTTGAAACTAGACGAACAATATATTTTGAGAGTATATAGGCCTCAAGTTTTAAAATGAACTCAGGCTTGTTGTTGCACGATTTTGTTTCACGAAATTGCAACAGTTTAAATATCTAATGTGCCAGTGTATTTAAATGTCTGAATATTAATGTGTGCAACAGTATGTAGGAATAATAAATACAGAACTTATGTTGACGTCATTTACTTAAAAAAAAAAAAAAAGTTTCCAAAGAGAATATAGAATATTAGAATAATCCTTTCCCTCGAAAACACCTGCCATTTTTTCTACTTTTCAATATCCCAGAGAAACGTGGATCTTGAAAAAAAAAAAAAAAAAAAAAAAAAAAAAAAAAATGAACGAAGAAAAA